AAGTACAAAGTGCACCATCAAGCGCCCTTGCGCCTACGCACCCACGCATGCTCTATACATGCACATTGTCTCTACTTTGTACTTGAAGTAAATTGCACGGGAATACATACTCTTAAATATAGCTCAATAAACTCTCTCCTCTTCAATGTGGGACTCAAACTCATATCTTTTTCGTAATTTAAGAAAGAACAATAAAACCAAAGTTGTTGTTTTGAAATACACTTACGTATTTTTCAAACCAAAAATACTAACACGGACAATTTTATTTGAGTAGCTTCTAACTGAATCAAGTATATAAAAAATCTTATGTTTTGCTCATCTAAATGTAAAATCATGTTTGCCATTTTGTTGTTAAACCAGTTTAGCAGCTCATTTCAAAATTTGTTGATTATATATGGGTAGCTCTGCAATTAAATTATTTTCTTGAAAATATGCTATATATAATATGAAAAACAAATTAGATGATTTAGATCTTATTTCATAGATATATTGAAATTTTACATTACTCCGTTCTCTCTCTCTTGTTGTCATATCTATCAAATTCATTGGCACAAGTCATAAGCTCTGTCTATTCTAATAAAATTGTTGGGGCATACCTTTTTTTTTTGGTGAGATTGTATACAATGAGATCATTTATCTTTCATATAAGGAAATCATAATTACTTACAACTATCTAATTTGAAATCTGATTTTTTGGGTGTGTTACAAAGTTCGAAAAAAATTCTTTTTAAGTTTGAACTTAGTCGATGGAATAAATGCAGCTATCTAATTTCACATCCAATGGTCAAGGTTAATTGTGACTACCTTGTACTAAAGATAAATAGTCTTATTTTATACTTTTCTTTTCTTTTCTTTTTTTGGGGGAGGTTGAGGCCCTAAACAATCAAAATAAGGCGTACATCTAAATGGTATCCAAAGGTGATTTTTCAATAGCAAAAATCTTTGCGATGGCAAGAAAATTTATTTTAATATCTAATTATAAAATTTAAATATTCAAAAATAGCATAGATCTAGTAAATTTAGAAAACATTTAAAAATATTGAAAATTGTTCGCCTAGATAATGCATTACAAAATGCACTATTGAAATCTTTTTTTTTTCACATCCATACATCTCAAAATTGAGATGATCGATTTGAGGGTTTTTCAACGTCAAAACATCTCTTCTAGTGAATTTTTAAAGTGCACCTTAATTTAAATTTTTAGGGCTTCAACCTTATATAAACTTTTTCCTCTTTTTTTTCTTAGGAAAAAAATGTTTGATAACCAGATATTAATGTGTTTAGTATAAATCTCTTCACAGTCCTTTTTTCTTCTATCCAAAAAAAGTGATGCCCTCACACAAATGGTTCCCTTAATTACATTAAAATTAACAAACTAAACTATGACTTTCTAAAACCAGTCCTTGTCAATTTTCATTGTGTCCTTTTCATGTTCAAGTCAGATACAAGTAGCACAAAACTCCTTCCCAGTAGCCAAAAAATTGAACCAAATTGAATCATTCTTTTCCAAAGATACTCAAATCTAATTTTGGTAAGTTCTGTTTACATTCAACTCTTTCAAAGTTCTGTTTACATTCAACTCTTTCAGCTACATAAATAATCTTGCTGAGTGACAAGAATCAACCAAATTAATCAAATTTCAACAAAAACATCTCCATGCAAAATCCACAATAACAATTTGAAAATTACACCAACCTTCTTCATTGATAATCAGAGCTACTTTGAATGCATTTTCTTTATGAAATCAAATTAGCAAAAATTTGATCACAAATTTCTTTCCATTTCAGTGAATTCTATCAACTTTAAGCAAAAAATGAATCAATATCTCATTCGGTTCTCTCCTAATTATTATTAGAACAAGTCATCAACAGAAGGTGGGTTATTCCAAAAAAGAGAACCATAAATTTAATAAAGAATTGGAGCACAATATTACTAGGAAAATTTAATTTTTTTTAAAAAAATGAAAATTTATCACTATCAAATTACCTAATAAAAAGCATAGTTCATAATAGTTGGGCATTTTATGGACGCCGTCTTTATACAATAGTGTTCGCAAACTCGGCCAAAACTTGGCCGGTTTTGGTGGTCCGGCCAAGTGTTTTGAAAAAAAAATATCCCAAAAAAATATGAGATTTTTTTTATCATTTTAGCAGAGATTGGAAAGTGTTTTGGCCATGAATACTATTTTTACATTTTTCTTCCATTTTAAAAAAAAAAATTCAAAAATACCCGTGACCACAAATTAATTTTTTAAAATCCATTATTTTTCCCTACGTTACAACTTCATTTGGATGTGCTTTGTTTAATCATGCTCTAAATATGTTTTTCATATTTTTTTTAGATTTTATTTTTTATTTTTTATTTTTTAATACTTTTAGATGGACCTGCCCGGTTAGGCCGATTGAAAGGTCAACTAGTTACTCAAATCTGGCCCTTGGCCGGTTTTTAAGGCCGGTTCGATTTTTCGAACACTGATATACAATTACCGATAAATTCAGAAAAAGTATACAATATTCATTAAATTCGGCTATATGTAACCTAATCTTTTACGAAACTAGGAAATTAAGCCAAATTTTCGACTTCTCTGTCTTTCTACAACTGCTGAGATTAGGAAGAGTAAGGTGAAGGCCATCTATAGTGGAGAACATAGAAGAGACATTTGTTTTGAACTGTCTAAAGGAAATTAATGGTGTACAAGAACGTAGTAAGAGAAAATGGGGGTCTTTAGGTTAGGCAGCAGCTAGAGATGGATATTTTAGAGAAAAGATCTCCTTTCTGTTGCAGAGAAATGAAGAGATTAGGGTTTTCAATTTTCTTCGTGCTCGTCCTAATTCTCCATGCCTTACTGTGACTTTCAAGACCCTATATTTCTCAACCCATGGCATAGAAAAGGAGAGAGAAAATTAATAGGTAAAGATTACTGTGACTTTCAAGACCCTATATTTCTAAACCCATGGCATAGAAAAGGAGAGAGAAGATTAAAAGGTAAAGATTACTGTGACTTTCAAGACCCTATATTTCTCAACCCATGGCATAGAAAAGGAGAGAGAAGATTAAAAGGTAAAGATTACTGTGACTTTCAAGACCCTATATTTCTCAACCCATGGCATAGAAAAGGAGAGAGAAGATTAAAAGGTAAAGATAGGGTAAGCACACAGTATGTGCAAATGACAGAGAAGGGGGTGGAAGATGGCCTTCTCTAAAAAAGAAAAATGGCAGAAAATGTAGTCCAAAATAGAGACAAAAACATTGTGGTTATGGTAGGAAATGAGATCTAAAGAAAGAACTGAAATGCCCTAATTTTAGAAAGGAAAAGGGATCATTTAGGTGGGTTTTCTGTTTAGTAAAGGCAGATGTCGGCCTCAATCCACTGCATTTTAGAAAGATAGAAGATTATTGGGAGTTGGAAAACAAGAGAAAAACCGAGACATGATTTACACAGAATCCATTTAGAAATGAGTCACCTCTTAAAAATCTGTCTGAAATGGATTTTTGGACCTAAGTTTTAGTGACATGTAATTTTTAAAATGGAGATCATGAATATGAAAAAATAAATAAATTTTAAAAATTAAAATAATAATTATATTAAAAAACATTTGGACCATTAATTCTATTTATTTTTAGATGAACAGCCTATTTGTACCCATCTTTAAATTGGATGTTTTATACCTCAAGGATCGCAAATGTAGATATGCGATCCCCACCACATGAAACAATTTTCCTCTTCTTTTTTGTATTGCTCATGGTAAGAGATTTGACCAGGTTTCTATCATGGGGTGGAGCTCAAAACTCCTAGATTTTCTAAAGGGAAAGGATCTAATATTTACGAGAGCCAATATCATAAAGAAAAAGGGAAAGGATCTAATATTTACGAGAGCCAATATCATAAAGAAAGATTTATGACAAATAAGCCTTTTTTCAAAGGGTACGATTTCTATAAGGTTGCAACCTTAAACAATCTAATTAATGTGCACCTCCAACTTTATCATAGCATGTATTTTTTTGTGTTAAAAATTCGTAAGATTGTCTAAAACTCTATTTTCATATCTAATTATAAAATTTTAAACTTTAAAAATGGTTAAAATCATATAGATCTATAAACATATGAAAATCTTGAAAATAGACTCTCTAGATAATGTATGGCAAAATGCACCATTTCTGTGACTCAAAATCCTTTCTTTCTTTTTTTCATATTCATACATCTCGATGTCGAGATGATCAATTAGAGGGTTTCTCAATATTAAAACAACATTTTCCGATAGATTTTTTTAAGTGCATCTGTAGTTCTACATTTTAAGGTTGCAACCTAATATAAACTTTTCCCTTTTTCAAAAACCCCTTTTTTTTTTAAGGCCATTTCATACCATGGCAACAAGATATATATCAGCAGACCCTAAATTGTTGGAAAAATGCTGTGATGAAGATGATGAGCGATAGGAAATATATGTACCGAGTTCTCCATTCATGCTTTAATAGTCAATGTTGGGTGCATTATTAGAAAATGTGTACAATTAGAAACAGTGATACCTGGCCCTTCTCCAAAGTTGAAAAAACAGAAGAACCCAATCATGTTCAAGGTTAGAATCGAAGGGCTGCACTACAAAGTCAAAGGCTCAGATGGCAACTTGCATCAACACCCCAAAATTAGTGTTGTTGCACATCACTCGTACCAATCAATAATGGGCATTTTTCGGTAAACAGCCAATGAATCATGAGTTGATATTTGGACAAAGTGTATTATGTCCATATTTATGAGTAATTAAACTGAAATAATTGAATAAAATGTAGTTAGTTCAAGTGAAAAGCTAAAAAAAGAACAATAAATAGACTCAAAAGAATATGGTTGAAAGTAATAAAAAAATATATGGAGACCTATAACCTTACTGAGAGTGTGACCCTTAATAGAGCAGCATAACAGACTAAGATATGATGATGAAATTGAAATACAAGATGCCTTAGAGAAACCCATATGATATCAAGCAAACCATGGCAATCAAATGTAACACTCGGTAGCATCAAGTCCCCTCCAATAATAGAAGTTGCATTTCGCCAGTTAATAAACAAGGGCCAAAAAGGTCCTTATGTTTCTCAGAATAACATCACAAATACATGAAATAAATGATCATATCTTCTGCAAATACACCTACTACCTTTGGATCAAGTTGATCCACAAATTGAATAAAAATGAAAATATTACCTTGCTTTTGATAGTTGGAGACAATTGAAAAAGAAAATATTCAACAAATACCGTAGATTACAATTTTTAGAAGTTTGGGCACTTGGCATCGAGAAAATCCCTAAGCATCCGAGCTGCCCTTTGTCCTCCCATGAGTTCAGCTAGCTTTTCTAGGGGGAGCACAGCCAACTCAGCTAAGCTGTTGCAGCCATCCATGATGGATCTATAGTTAGAATCCGTAACACCAGGTAGACGCCTTAGAAACTCCACAGCTGATGTGTTGTAATTCTCAGCTCTATCACACAAAGATCCACTTAGTGTTATTTTAATCAAGGAAAAAGCTGAATGCAATGGAGTATGTAAAAGTACTCCCAAGGGGCATTCACCACAAAAACAGAAGGGAGAGATCAAATGTAACCAAGTGTATCTCCCCTAACTGTAATCAGGAATGGATGATGGATGCATCTTTAGAGTACTTTATACCATATTCTATAGGATTATGGTATAAATTCTCTTTAGTGAATCAATCAATGCACACAGGAAGAGAAACAAAACCATACTGAGAAATCTTGGTATTAGGAATTTTGGGGTGAGATAGATTCTTCCGGACCGAACATAATTTTCTTGAGATATTTCCAAGTAAAAATTTGTACAACCATACTGAGAAATCTTGGTATTAGGAATTTTAGAATGAGATAGATTCTTCTGGACTGAACGTAATTTTCTTGAGATATTTCCGAGTGAAAATTTGTTAAAAAGTAATATTCTGCACACATTTTCTAAGTTAAATTCATAGGTATTTTATAACGGAAAATGTAGGGACGAACTATAAAAGGGAAGAAATTGTGATATTAATGAAAAATCATTTCTTTTTTGCACTTCTTACAATAAAAAGCAAAAAGTGTGACTAATCACCACATGTATAATCGGATGACCCTTTCAAAAGTCAACCTTTTCCATCTCACATGTGAACACCATTAGGGGAATAACCAGTACAAGTTAACTCTACCAAAAACTAAAAAGTTAGATGATTGTTTCCCAGAAGGATCATACACCATACAAAGGCTGTGTATGGTACAGTAACCCTTCAACAATCCTCTTTCTTACCTTACGTCATTTTCCACAATGCCCTCCTCGGAGGGGACACCAACCCTCATAGCTGTACTCTCATCAGGTTCATCTTGATTAGCCTTGAGGGATGCAAATATCTCAGCAGTTGCATGTAAGCTTCGGGACCAGACAAGGCGAAGGCGAGGAAAATGTAGAACAAGCAGACATAGCTTTGATATTATGCTATTTGGGGAGACATCATCACCAATCTCACTTGCAGACTGCAACAATCAAGAGTAAGGGCAGAGTAACAAAGCTGCCTATTCAAAATTCTTGCCAGTAACCAGCAATCTTAATGATATAAGAATAGTTCCGTGGTGATCAACAGCAAATGTACTGGTACCTACAGGTTCTCACAGTTATAATGATCTATTATAAGAATATCTCATATGATAGGATTATGACATATTAGTTTCACAGAAATTCCAAATGAGAGAGAGAGAGAGACGTACGACCCAAGAAGTGCAATTAGAAATAAATAAAATCACTACCACATGTTGCACCAGATTATTCCACAAAAACATACAAAGAAATAACCAAATTAAAAGTAACCATTAATGGAGAGATATTGCTACCACATATTGCAGATATATTGTAACTAGCTCCCAACAGAAACGTCAATGAAAAAAGTTGAACTATAAAAGTAATGTCCCACATTCGAAATCATCCAACAGAGATTATTATAGCAAAAGGACCTAACTAGAGCAGCTCATGAGCATATATTTGCATGCAATTAGCAAGTTACATCAAAAGTTGACATGCACCAAATCCAAAAGTACCTGGAAAGAGAAGCTCTTGTCCTGTGAAAACTCAATGAGCACGACAGGTATTCTGTAATAACGAACCATGGTTTCGACTTGATTGTAGAGGCGACCAGATGCAAAGCTGGAATAGAGATCTGCAATGCTCTTTCTCTCAACGCAGATGAGTGGCGAAAGAATGTAATCTCCAACCTCAAGAGTGACAGGAATAATTTTCATTCCTTTCTGGTGGAGAACATTGGGAAGGCTGCTCATAAATTCTCTCACGTCCACTATGACCTGTGAGATTGGTGCAAGGAGGATAGAAAAGAACAGAAAAGTATACTACAATCCAAGGACTGGAGAAATCAAAATAATGGATGGCGGTGGAAAGAGTTGGACCATGATGGGTCCCTCCCTCTCAATCACCATCCATTTGACAGACAGTGATAACAAAAAGGAATATAGAATACGCCTAAAATTCTTCCATGGAATTACAATATTCTTTGTGAAAAGAACATCTTCTATGGGAGAACTCATGAAATTTCTAACAGCTGTTACCTGCGTTTCTTTCTCAATTGCCTTCCTACCACCAGCCTTCCTGGTCAATGCATTCTGAGATATCAAACTTTGCGGCTCACCAGGAGTGTTTGGTACAACCCTTCCATCCTGATGAGAGTCATAAATATTGTACGAAAAGAAACAAAAGAGAATGAGGGCAGTTATTTTCAAAAAAGAAAATAATATGACCAATTAATCATGAAAAATATAGCAGCATTCAGCAGATAAAGTATGAACAAAGCCTAAAAAATGAAACTATTCAGCATAAAACCCAGTATCATTTCATTCACCAGTAGAAAAGAATACAATCCTTGATGCGCAGAACAGAACCAAGAGATTGATTGATATGCCTATCCAGTAATGCCCTAAGGATTGTCCGAGGGAAATAACACCAGGTTTAATAAGCTACCATTGATCAGCTGCTTGGAGTTATCAGTTTTATTAGTTCAGCACGTTGTTAATCCGCGATCTCCAGGATTATTATTCATTTCAACTAGCTGAACCATTTTGACATTTGCCTTAATTAGTCTGCACAGCTCAGAAGTCTTCTTAACCTTTCTTCTTCTTTTTTAATTTCATTAATGCACAGTGCCTGGTCTAGATGGGCTATTTCATAAGAAGCCCATCTAGACCTCATGAAGTCTTTGGTGATTCTTTGGGCCCAAAATCATCATCAAGATTGCTCGCTACTCTTTGAACCCCGGACATCGATCAAATCAAGCTCAAGTTGATGGTTGCTCCCTTGGCAACCCAGGTCCAGCAGGTTACAGCTGCCTCTTGAGAGACCACAATCACAACACCCCACTTTCTTATTCTTGCTACATCGGCTTGCCAGACTACACCATGGCCAAAGTTGTGTCATCTTAGAGGGGTCAAGGGATTCAATCAAGCTTTCGGGAACTCCCTGGCCATCGAAGGGGACTCCAAAAATGTCATAGTATGGGCCATGGGTGCTTCCAGCAGCCCACGATGATTGGTGGACATTTTTTTAGCATTTTTTCTCTCTTTGCAGGCATATTCACATCTTCGTTCGACATACGAGGTGTAAAGCCAACTCTACTGCTGACACCTCGCGAAGGAAGGCACTACCTTATGAAATACCACCAGTGCAACCACCCCAGCGGTTCTTTCAGTTAGGTACCAACATATTTTTGGTCTTTGTTTGTCTGGTTTTGGCACAGCGTGCTGTCCTAGGCACCATTTTTTGTAGGGGGTGCTGTTCTATGCACCAAATTTTTGTATGAGGGGTCTAAGGACCCAACATGGAGAACTGTAATTATCTTCTATATAGTAGTAGAAATATAAAGTCAGCTTCTCCGAAAAAAATCATAAAGCCAATAAATACATATGACAGTTTCATTCTTTTAAAAGTGATAAACATGAACAAGCCTGTTATATGTGAGAACTAATAATAGAGGGCGTACGTATGTGTGTGTCCTTCAAGGAAATTATTCAGTTAAACATGAAGATAGGACTAGCTGTACCAGCCACAGTCAAGGAGGGATAAATAAAAAGAAACCCACAAAGAGCAATAAAGAAATTCCCAGCAGCAAATAGATATAGCAAAAAACAACAGAGAACTCCAATACTAGATACAAATTCAAAAGTTATACAGTACATCTGCAACCAAATAAAACCTCTAAGAAGCAAACTTTTCATTTCATGTCTCAAAGCCAGTGCCAACGAACATCAGCAACAAGGCAGAAAAGTTTATGAATGCCAAGAAAAGAGCAAGATAGACAAGTTAACAGTGATCTTTATAAGTACAACGACTTTGATATCTTAAGGTGTATAGCATACTGCCACGGAAGCAAACTGTATGCTTACTCCCTTGGGTTAAAAAACAACATAGAAGGATTTTTTTTACCCAAAATTTTGGATACACCTTAGAATCACCAGATGAGCATTAGATTTTGAGTTCCTAAAGACGGTCCAAATTCAATCTTAGGAGGTTATTTTTTTCATTTTCGGGCACTAAAAGCATGCATATAAAAATTCCTCTTTTTGAGGTTGGTTGCTAGGTTGAGGAGGTAACATCCCAAAATATTGACACGAAACGAGCATAGGAATAAACCTGGTCAACGGGTATCATCATCAAGGATTTCTGCCTGATAAGAGATTCAAATGCTCCATTTTCTCTTCGTATACTTGCCTCAAACTTCTGCACTTCAGTAGACTCTTCGTAAAATAAAAAATACACTTTCAAGTTTCTAGTGGGATTCTCTGCTTTATAAACTTCTATCTCTCTGACAAATGTCATATCTGGGTGGTAAACAATAATTACTGATGGCTTGAATACATCAAGTATTTTCTGGTCACTGTCCATCGCAAAAAATTGTACCACCGGAAGTGGTTTAGTACCAATATTTCCATTTTCCACGGATGCACCCCCTCCCATCTTTGTGAAAGAACTAGCCATCGCCACTGGTCCCTCACCTGCCGCACGATCCTCATTGCCTGATTCACTCATTAAAGTGCTATTTCCTTTTTCTTGTTTTCCTTTATCTTTACTTTTAGGAAGTCGAGCTTTTGAACCAGAGGTTTTTCCACCACTTCCTCTTCCTCTTCCTCTTCCTCTTCCACGATTTCCTCTCCCTCCATGCAATTGAGGCTCCCTCGTTACAGCTTCCTCCTCACCCACGTTTTTAACTTCAGCTGCTGCTGCTAAAAGAGCAGATTGCTCAAGATTGCTTATGCTGCTAGCTTCTGCATTCTCTCCAGGCCTAGCTGGGATAACCCCATTCAATACACCAAAACCTTTAGGTTCTTGGGATTTCTTTTTGTTCCGTGTCTTTAGCCCATGCAAATCTGCCTTGCCCAATAAGTATCTTTCCCACTCTTCACGCATAACCTGAAGTCCAAAAAACAGACAAAAAAGATTTGCTTTCACGTTAACAAGCAATAACATAATAACTTGCAGAAACTAGCTTAAACATGAAGGCATGGTTAGAACCGCTTGATGTTAATATTAGAAAGATAGAAAAGCATAAAGCACCTATATAATTATACATACCAAGCTTACCAATATCAATATGATCATATGAAGTACTACTGATTTTGGCACCAAATACTATACAATAGATACCAAGTATGCCTAAAATATAAAAGAGAAAGTATTGAACTTACTCCGACGGGCAATTGCTTTAGGAGATTTTTTCGATCTAAAATTATGGCATCCACTTCAGAATCAGCAGAAGAGTATTTTGAAAATAAAGGGATATTGAATTTCTAAAATCATGATATGTATAGAAAAATATGTATTGAGAAAAATCTAAAATACAGTATAACATAAAGATAAACACTATAACAAAGTACTTGCCACTTATCCCCCTCTCTTCCCCCAAAATCATTATAAAGAATGGCTGGTCTTACAGCCATCCTATAGAACATTCCCCAAAATAATAATAAAAAATAAATAAAAAATTTATCATAGAATCTAAGTTAAAGCCAGCTTAAATAATCAAATGAACCCCAAAGGTCAAAATATTAATTCTACCACCATTTTCACTAAAATAAAGACACGAGACCAAACAAGAAAACCTAGGCTGCATTACAGGACCAAATTCAAATTAGACCACTAGTTCAAGAAGAAACTACTGCAAAATCTAGATAAACATGCATTATCCCAAAATATGATGCATACAAAAAAAAAGGGAAAAAAAAAAAACTCTGATGCTTGCAGTAAAATAATAATCCTAAATGAGCAGCCAAAAGAGACTTTTGACTGGCAGTAAGCTGGAAAAATGACATTGTCAATTAGCTCCATTTGCAAATGATTGTCACATCATATAAATTAAAGCAATCTCTAGAACAACACCTGTTGAGGACCTTTAGAGATGCAATCCTGAAGCTGCATGCAGGAGAGTTCATCTTTGCAAGCAACTAAAACTGTATTACTCTCATCATCCCAAGTATCTTCATTCAGAACTTGCTTTTGCCTTTCTTCCTCAACTTCTTCCAACACCTCCTGCCACAAAACTCCACCAAAGGTCACTTCAGTAAAAGGGCAACTGATATTACATTTCAAGAGGCATGCAACCCAAATAGGGCAAAACTAAGAATAAATAATGGAGAGAGAAATTAACGAAGACTTTTTTGCAAGTCATAAACCCTGTTAAAAACCCAAGGCGAAACAAAAATAGACATCAATGTCATCCAACAGAGGCACTTATATGAACAAAAACTGACTAAAGCACACAAGAAAGCTACAAGTTTCATTCAATATTCCATTTTGGTAAGCTCAAATCAAATTTCAGCGACTGTCATTTAAACAAAAACTAATGAAAGCATGAAGCTAAATCATATAAAAAATCAATATTTGAGAGCAATATGTCAATACCAATGATACAAAAAATTATGCCATCATCATTATCATCCAAGCCTTTTCCCAACTTTTTAGGATCTGCTACACCAATCTTGTTCCACCATTATGCTCTACCAAGACGCATACCCTTACTCAAATTATAAGTCACCATATATCTTCTCACTACTTCCTTCCATATCCTGTTGGGCATTCCTCTTTCTCTTTTAAAGACTGCCACTTGAACTAAATTGTTCCTCCTAATCAGTATTGTATTATGTCTACATAACACATGGCCAAACCACCTAAGTCCACTTTTTTTTTTAGGAATAACCACCTAAATCCACTTTCCCTCATCTCATCGCCTATTGGAGCCACCATTAATTTCCCTCATATATATTCATTATGAATTCTATCATTTCTTATCTTGCCACTCATCAATCTCAATATCCTCATTTCATTTACACTCATCCGAGGGATATGTTGTTTCTTGACCGCCCAACATTCCTTCCCATAAAGTATAGCTTGCATTACAATTGCCCTATAAAAATTCCCCTTTAGTTTCATTGGTATGTGGAGATCACATGAAACTCTGGATGCACATCTCCATTTCTCCCATTTAGCTCTAATTCTATGCTCAACATCTTCCTCAATCTCTTCATTCTCCTAGACTATCGACCTAGGTATTGAAAATAATATCTTTTAAGTATTTCTTGGCCATCAATCTTAACTACTTCCTCGTTTCTACTCCTACTATTACTAAATTTGCATTTCATATATTATGTCTTAATCCAACTAATTTTAAAACTTTTAGATTCTAGGGAATCCCTCCAAAGTTCTAACTTTGCATTGACATCATCTCCAGTCTCATCAATCAAAACTATGTTATCCGCGAACAACATGCACCACAATACCTCATCCTGTAGAGGGCTCGTTAACTCGTCTATAACCAAAACAAAGAGATGTGGGCTCCATGCTGACCCCTGATGTAGGCCTACTCCCACTGAAAACTCATTTGTCTCTCTACTAGGCCTGCTCCCACTGAAAACTATGTTAGCATTCCCTTGTATATATCTCTAACCACGTCAATATATCCTCTAGAGACTCATTTCTTTTCCAGAACTAACAAAATTAACTCTCTAGATACCTTATCATATACTTTTTCCAAATCAATAAAGACCATATGGAGGTCCCTTCCCTTCTCCCTAAACTTCCTAATAGTTGCCTAAGTAGGTAAATAACCTAATTTTTTACCTCCCTGGCATAAAGCTAACTGACTTTCTGATACACTCATTTCACGTCCTAGTCGTTGCTCAATCACTCTATCCCACAACTTCATGGCTTGTAATTTTAATCCTTCAATATTTCATATTGTTCTATATATCCCATATGTTCTAGTAAATAGGTACCACAATATTTTTTATCCATTCATTTAGCATATTATTTGTTCTCAAAATCTTGTGGAACAGTTTGGTCAGTAAGAACATGCTAAACTCTCCCCTATCGCAACCCCCTACTTTCCCTCTCAATCCTACATTCATTCTTTCTCGGGTTTGGCATTCTTTAGCCCACCCCCGAAGGTGCAAACTTTTAATTGGTTAGCTGCTTCTCATAAGGCACTTACTATTGATCGCCTACAAAGAAAAGGGATCCCCATTCCAAACAGGTGTAGTGTGTGCTTAAGCGAGGAGTCCAATTTTCAACTTTTCCTCCTTTGTAAGGTAGCACATGACCTTTGGGGCTGTGTGTTACAACTTGTTGGGGTAGACTGGGTGATTCCACAATCGATCAAGGACCTAATTGCCCTGAACACCTACTCGCACTGGCCGAAAGCAGGAAAAATTCTATGGAAAGCTTCCATGGCAGCAACTATCTAGACCTTATGGAACGCAAGGAATGCCAGACTTTTTAGGGGACAAGTAACTCTGGTTCCATCGCATTTTCAAAAAGTTACATCCTCAGTAACTTTTTGGGTGACAAACAATGATCATTTTAATGGAATACCAGCACACTCCATCCTACCTCAAGGGAGGAACATCCTACTTCACAGGCCCAATAAGAACAAGAAAATCGTGGCCACTTGGAAACCACCCCCCCAAGCAGTCAAACTTAATTTTGATGGCTGCTCCTTAGGTAATCCAGGACACGGCAGGATAGGAGGTGTATTTCGCGACCACCAACACAGTGTCCTCTTCACTTACTCAGAGTACATTGAGGTGCAAGATTTACAACATGCTGAATCTTTTGCGCTACTCAAAGGGCTGCAAAGTTTCGAAAGCTCTTGGGGACAGCATCTTATTGTGGAGGGTGACACCCAAAATATTATCACTTGGGCCACCAGGGAAGTGTCGCCCCCCTGGTACCTCTTGCCTATTTTTGACGAAATTCAACATATTTGCAGGGGTATGCACGTCTCATGGAAGCATACACCGTGGATGTCAAACGCCTTCACGGACCTTTTGGCGAAGGACGGAACTAAAGCCCACGAAAACGATTAGATCTGGCCAGCTACACTTTTTTGTGCAGCATCTTTTTGTTTCTTTTTGTTAGTAAAATGTCTATGGACAATATAGGGGGACTATTATAACCCCATTTTCAAGTACTTTGTATATGATTATCCTTACCTCTTTTTTGTAACTGGCAAGGCGGCAATCTGTGTAGCACATTTTGTATAGGGCCAGTGGGCCTATTCTTTTTTGTCGAGAGTCTCGCCCAACAGGGGACTCTCATTAACTATATTATTAATAAAATTTCTATTAACATTCAAAAAAAAAAAAATTTGCTAAACTCTCCCATGCACTTCCAAACCTCTATAGGGGTATCATCGGATCCTAAAGCCTTTCCTATCTCCATCCTTCTCAAAGCTTCTTTCACTTCAAAAAATCCTAATCATGCGAATATATCTATGACCTCCAACCTCATTTTAGTCAAAGGTTTCTCCTAACGCTTTGCTCCCAAGATATTCGGAATTTAACAATTTTTTAAAATAAATTCGCCACCTTTCACTGACCTCATTATCCTTCACCAATATCCTATGATCCTCACTCTAATTGCATTTAATATGATCTAGATCCTTACACTTATTCTCTCTCATTTTTGCTAGTTTGAAGACATTTTTGTCACCTTCTCTCTAGTTTATTGTATAGATCAGTATATGCCTTAAGTTTAGTCTTTTCATAAACCCTAAACCTATGCTATATAAAAACTATCTAATTACGAAATAAAAATAATTAACTAGAATCATAAACATGAGCAACCTAGAAAAGACATTACGTGAATAAAGACCCAAGAGTGTAAAACCATGACCCCCTTTTGAATATCCTAGACAATTGTAAGCTTCCTAATAATATAATTGAAACCACTGATTGATCATAGAGCAACACAGCCAATAAAATTGACCATATGCGGAGAAATAGAGCAAGAAACGACTCAGAGCAAAGAGACTCACTCACTCACTCGCAACACCTTCCATTTGGGTGGCTCTTCCAATACAACTTCCAACACCATACTTGAATGAGAGTCCTTGGCCTCATTTGCTGCCAAACCAAAAAAAGTTCTCAAAAAACACACAAACATCTCAGCAAAACAAGTGCCCACCCAAAAACTTAAGAGGGAGAGAGAGAGAGAGAGAGAGAGAGAAGCAACAAGCAAATAAATAAACAATGACTCAATTCAACAGAAGAGAAAATGGCAGTATAACCAATTGAGAGAGTGAGGCAGAGGGATGACATAGAAAGGGTAGAGAGAGAGAGAGAGAGAGAGGA